AGTAGTGTGTGTGGCCTCCGCGTGCCTGTATGACCTCCCTACAACGCCTGGGCATGCTCCTGATGAGGTGGCGGATGGTCTCCTGAGGGATCTCCTCCCAGACCTGGACTAAAGCATCCGCCAACTCCTGGACAGTCTGTGGTGCAACGTGGCGTTGGTGGATGGAGCGAGACATGATGTCCCAGATGTGCTCAATTTGATTCAGGTCTGGGGAACGGGCGGGCCAGTCCATAGCATCAATGCCTTCCTCTTGCAGGAACTGCTGACACACTCCAGCCACATGAGGTCTAGCATTGTCTTGCATTAGGAGGAACCCAGGGCCAACCGCACCAGCATATGGTCTCACAAGGGGTCTGAGGATCTCATCTCGGTACCTAATGGCAGTCAGGCTATCTCTGGCGAGCACATGGAGGGCTGTGCGGCCCCCCAAAGAAATGCCACCCCACACCATGACTGACCCACCGCCAAACCGGTAATGCTGGAGGATGTTGCAGGCAGCAGAACGTTCTCCACGGCGTCTCCAGACTCTGTCACGTCTGTCACATGTGCTCAGTGTGAACCTGCTTTCATCTGTGAAGAGCACAGGGCGCCAGTGGCGAATTTGCCAATCTTGGTGATCTCTGGAAAATGCCAAACGTCCTGCACGGTGTTGGGCTGTAAGCACAACCCCCACCTGTGGACGTCGGGCCCTCATACCACCCTCATGGAATCTGTTTCTGACCGTTTGAGCAGACACATGCACATTTGTGGCCTGCTGGAGGTCATTTTGCAGGGCTCTGGCAGTGCTCCTCCTGCTCCTCTTTGCACAAAGGCGGAGGTAGCAGTCCTGCTGCTGGGTTGTTGCCCTCCTACGGCCTCCTCCACGTCTCCTGATGTACTGGCCTGTCTCCTGGTAGCGCTTCCATGCTCTGGACACTACGCTGACAGACACAGCAAACCTTCTTGCCACAGCTCGCATTGATGTGCCATCCTGGATGAGCTGCACTACCTGAGCCACTTGTGTGGGTTGTAGACTCCGTCTCATGCTACCACTAGAGTGAAAGCACCGCCAGCATTCAAAAGTGACCAAAACATCAGCCAGGAAGCATAGGAACTGAGAAGTGGTCTGTGGTCACCACCTGCAAAACCAGTCCTTTTATTGGGGGTGTCTTGCTAATTGCCTATAATTTCCACCTGTTGTCTATTCCATTTGCACAACAGCATGTGAAATTTATTGTCAATCAGTGTTGCTTCCTAAGTGGACAGTTTGATTTCACATAAGTGTGATTGACTTGGAGTTACATTGTGTTGTTTAAGTGTTCCCTTTATTTTTTTGAGCAGTGTATTTAGCCAAACTGGATGGACCAGTTAATGGGTGGTTCAATCGCCCATGGTGGTTGTGTGTGTGTGTGTGTGTTTGTATGTATGTGTGTGTGTGTTTGTTGAGACATTCCTTCTTTCTCTGTCCTACATATAACATGCCACACTTCCTAACTGGGTTTCAGTCACTCAGCCTCCCACTTCACATTCCTATTTTCTGAAGCTAACTCAGGGAAGACAAACATATATTTAATATTTACACATATATTTACACATATATTTATTTAATGTATGGCCTACTTTTTGTAATTTTAATGTGGAAATGTTGGTAATATTTGGTAAAGACGTTGATCAATGAGATTTCAACCTTTATTCACCCACTCAGCCAGAAGTTTGTTGAATTCCCAATGTGTTATCACTATGCTTTCAACTATCTAAAAGCACAACCAAATTCCAATTGAAAAACAGTGTCTGATTTTTGGTTTAGTTGTCATCTAAATGTGTTATCACATTGCTTCATCTAATAGCGGAACCAAATTACCTGGATTCCAGTTGAGATTACATTAAAGGTACATAGTAAAAGTGATCAATGCTGTTCGAGATTCTGCCAGATTATTACAGTGCCTTCAGAAAGTATTCATACCCATTGACTTATTCAACATTTTGTTGTGTTACAACCTGAATTCAAAATGGATAAAATAAATAAAAAATCTCACCCTACACACAATATCCCATAATGACAAAGTGAAAACATGCTTTTAGAAATTGTTGCACATTTATTGAAAATGAAATACAGAAATATCTCATTTACATAAGCATTCACAACCCGAGTCAAGACTTTGTAGAAGCACCTTTGGCAGCGATTACAGCTGTGAGTCTTTCTGGGTAAGTCTCTAAGGGCTTTGCACACCTGGATTGTGCAGCATTTACCCATTATTATAAAAAAATGTAATACTTCAAGCTCTGTGAAATTGGTTGTTGATCATTGCTAGACAACCATTTTCAGGTCTTGCCATAGATTTGTTGGATTCACATCTCCATCGTAACCAAAAATAAAAGTTAAAGAATAGGACTAAATCTAATCTAATCAAACATTAATTGCACTTTAAATACATTTTTATTGGATTTAGTGCTATTCTTTCATTTAATGTTTGATTGAGATGGAGAAGTGAATCCAACATATTAATGATTAACTTGAAGGTTACATTTGAAATCAACCAAAGTTTGAAACCCTAGGCCTATATGTATTGTCTATTTTTAGTTGAACCCTGGGTTGAATAAAAAGAATAGCTGTTGATTACTTGCTGACACTGCTGATTTTGTGCGTTTGCCCACTGACAAAGTCATGATCAGTCTATAATTTTAATGGTAGGTTTATTTGAACAGTGAGAGACAGAATAACAACAAAAAAATCCAGAAAAACGCATGTCAAAAATTTTGTAAATTGATTTGCATTTTAATGAGGGAAATAAGTATTTGACCCCTCTGCAAAACATGACTTAGTACTTGGTGGCAAAACCCTTGTTGGCAATCACAGAGGTCAGACGTTTCTTGTAGTTGGCCACCAGGTTTGCACACATCTCAGGAGGGATTTTGTTCCACTCCTCTTTGCAGATCTTCTCCAAGTCATTAAGGTTTCGAGGCTGACGTTTGTCAACTCGAACCTTCAGCTCCCTCCACAGATTTTCTATGGGATTAAGGTCTGGAGACTGGCTAGGCCACTCCAGGACCTTAATGTGCTTCTTCTTGAGCCACTCCTTTGTTGCCTTGGCCGTGTGTTTTGGGTCATTGTCATGCTGGAATACCCATCCACGACCCATTTTCAATGCCCTGGCTGAGGGAAGGAGGTTCTCACCCAAGATTTGACGGTACATAGCCCCGTCCATCGTCCCTTTGATGTGGTGAAGTTGTCCTGTCCCCTTAGCAGAAAAACACCCCCAAAGCATAATGTTTCCACCTCCATGTTTGATGGTGGGGATGGTGTTCTTGCGGTCATAGGCAGCATTCCTCCTCCTCCAAACACGGCGAGTTGAGTTGATGCCAAAGAGCTCGATTTTGGTCTCATCTGACCACAACACTTTCACCCAGTTCTCCTCTGAATCATTCAGATGTTCATTGGCAAACTTCAGACGGGCCTGTATATGTGCTTTCTTGAGCAGGGGGACCTTGTGGGCGCTGCAGGATTACAGTCCTTCACGGCGTAGTGTGTTACCAATTGTTTTCTTGGTGACTATGGTCCCAGCTGCCTTGAGATCATTGACAAGATCCTTCCGTGTAGTTCTGGGCTGATTCCTCACCGTTCTCATGATCATTGCAACTCCACGAGGTGAGATCTTGCATGGAGCCCCAGGCCGACTGACAGGTCTTTTGTGTTTCTTCCATTTGCGAATAATTGCACCAACTGTTGTCACCTTCTCACCAAGCTGCTTGGCGGTGGTCTTGTAGCCCATTCCAGCCTTGTGTAGGTCTACAATCTTGTCCCTGACATCCTTGGAGAGCTCTTTGGTCTTGGCCATGGTGGAGAGTTTGGAATCTGATTGATTGATTGCTTCTGTGGACAGGTGTATTTTATACAGGTAACAAACTGAGATTAGGAGCACTCCCTTTAAGAGTGTGCTCCTAATCTCAGCTCGTTACCTGTATAAAAGACACCTGGGAGCCAGAAATCTTTCTGATTGAGAGGGGGTCAAATACTTATTTCCCTCATTAAAATGCAAATCAATTTATAACATTTTTGTATGCGTTTTTCTGGATTTTGTTGTTGTTATTCTGTCTCTCACTGTTCAAATAAACCTACCATTAAAATTATAGAATGATCATTTCTTTGTCAGTGGGCAAACGTATAAAATCAGCAGGGGATCAAATACTTTTTTCCCTCACTGTAGGCCTAAATAGTATTATTGATGATATATGCCTTATAAAGTATGGTTACATTTCATTTGCTCTGTTAAACCTATCCTTTGGAATGATTTCGATAGCAACAGTGAATATATTTAGTTATTAAGAGATCTCTAAACAATCATTCTTGCGATATCTCATAGGTAGTAGTCAGTGACAAATATCAAAGCTAAGCAGAGCTGGGCTTAGTTAAAACCCTGGATGGAAGAACAAATAAATAGCTGTAGATTGATCAACTCTCCAGTAGGAGGTGCTGCCCAGCCTATTGTTTTTTTTCTGATAGTGGATATAACGTTGAAGATCTGACTTTGCTTCAAAGGTACAAATTCAACATATTTTATACGTTGAAAATTAGTTACCATAATCCTGTGGTTAAAATTCCACCCTCAAAACAACAGTTTTTATGACTTTTTTCCAATCCAATGTATTTTCCACATCACAATACGTCACAATACGTCGACAAATTACGTTGAAACAACGTTGACTCAACCAGTTTTTCCCCAGTGGGATACTACTGTATGTAATCGTAATTTACAGTTTACCTCAGACTATGATTGCTGCTGTATTCAAAGGAACAGTTATAAAACAAAGCTTAGCCTGGGGACAACTATACAGTAAGCACTGGACTTCTGTGTGTAACATAGAGCACTATGAAGAATTTGAACTCAGTTTGACTTCACAAACTATCTTGAAAACTATATAGCACCATTATTGTGGAGCATGAAACATCTCCTTATATTGATTTGCTGGTGGTGTGACTTCTGTCATAAAAAAGAAAGAAAATCCCCACAGAGGCCGCAACCATGTCAAACAAGATGGTCATTCAGCAGCCCAATCAATTTGTTCAGGCCATCACCTCAAACCGATGGAGCTCCAACATCTGTGACTGCACCCAGGATATGTCTTCATGTAAGTGTGTGTGTGTGTGTGTGTGTGTGTGTGTGTGTGTGTGTGTGTGTGTGTGTGTGTGTGTGTGTGTGTGTGTGTGTGTGTGTGTGTGTGTGTGTGTGTGTGTGTGTGTGTGTGTGTGTGTGTGTGTGTGTGTGTGTGTGTGTGTGTGTGTGTGTGTGTGTGTGTGTGTGTGTGTGTGTGTGTGTGTGTGTGTGTGTGTGTGTGTGTGTGTGTGTGTGTGTGTGTGTGTGTGTGTGTGTGCATGAGTGCGTGCTTGCGCATGTGTCTCCTGAGTGGCGCAGTGGTCTAAGGCACTGCATCGCAGTGCTAACTATGTCACTAGAGATCCTGGTTCGAATCCAGGCTCTGTCGCAGCTGGCCGCGACCGGGAGACTCATGGGCGGCGCACAATTGGCCCAGCGTCGTCCAGGGTAGGGGAGGGAATGGCCGGCAGGGATGTAGCTCAGTTGATAGAGCATGGCGTTTGCAACGCCAGGGTTGTGGGTTCAATTCCCACGGGGGGCCAGTATAAAAAAATAAAATAATAATTCACTAACTGTAAGTCGCTCTGGATAAGAGCGTCTGCTAAATGACTAAAATGTAAAATGTAATGTTCGTGTGCGTCTGTTACCACTCAATTCCATTCAATCGATAAACTATGCTTGTATCAATCAACGAAGAGAACATCCTATTCACTGGGATTTCTTATCCTTCTATAGGTTGCTTTGCGTTCTGGTGCTTCCCCTGTTTTTCCTGTATAACAGCGAGAGAGGCCGGGGAGTGTCTGTGTCTGCCCCTGCTAGACAGTTTCGGTGTTATCCCCCCAGCCACCATGTCCATGAGGGTGGGCATGCGCCAACGCTATGGCATCGAGGTAGGGACACACAGAACCTCATGCACTAGAGTCTACACTGAAGCCTTGATGTTTGCTTTAGATTTTTTTTACTGACTTAGCTTGGCATGTCTTATGACTAGGGCCCTGAGTTGTTCCTGATCACATGATCTGACCAGGAAACACTCTGGGCCTAATAGTTATAGGCGATATGTACAGGTATAACTATTGGTGTTGTGTCCATAGAAATTAGTTATATTTCCCATTTCCTTTGATACTGTTTGTGTGAACGTGTGTAATGTCTCGTAGTAGTCTACAAATATCAGTCCCTCCATCTCTCCAGTAATTAATGATGTTTACCTCATCTTAGCCACCTTCTAATATGATCTCAGAAATGTCCTAACCAGTTTTCTGTACCTTTATACTAAGGGAGTAGCCTGGGTACCAGTCTATCTGCGCTAACATTCCACTCCTTGCCACTCCTAGTCATGCCAAACAAGGAGTTGGAATGATAACACAAACAGATCGGGGACCAGGCTACACGGGGAGTAATACATAATGTTCTGATGATGTTATAGCGCTGAACTCTGATCAGATATTCTACCCCCTCTTTGTAATTGATTGATGAATGTAGCCATTGTTAACTGATCTTAGATCAGTTGTAATGTGTAATGATGTATCTCTGTCTCCTCTCTAACAGGGCACCATGTGTAATGACTGTGTCTATTCGTTCTTCTGCGGGCCCTGCACCTGGTGTCAAATGTCACGAGAGATGAAGACCCGCTTCCAACCCATCACGCTCATCAACGCACACACAAGATAAGGAAAGACCTCACTCTTTCTCCTCCTCCTCTTCATCACGCACCATCATCATCATCTCTCATCATCATCATATGTCCCTCTTCTTCATCATCTACCTCTTCCACCTTCATCATGGTCACTAGATTAATCATAATCAACATCATCACCATTAGACTCATGTTAATGGAATACCAACAATACCAAGCGTTATCGCGGACTACACATTCAATCCTCCTTTGACTCTCCTAAATCACCCACTGGCACCAAACCCGTCACCATGGAACATCCCTCAGGCACGTGTACTGTATGTGACCCACCCAACACTGATCTCCAATCTGTTTCAAGCTCGTCTGGGTGTAGTAGAATGTCTATTCTTCAATCTTTCACCATGCTGTATTGTCTCAGGTAGTTCACATTCACAACTTCCCCCCTGTTGACAGCTAAATACAGTATGTTTGGTCTGTAAAGGCCCTTTGATTGGTTTCGGATGAGTGAAAGTTGAATGAACATGCATGTATAAAAACATTTCCAAAACCCTTTTGATAACTGGACCTTTGTATTGCAGAAACGTACAATTGTATTACACGAGATAAATAGTTATGAAAGATTTCCAAAGAACAAAACAGACATTCATATATATCCTATGCAAATCACACACATGCAAATAGTCAATGTTCCCATAATTTAGTTCCTGATCCGGATGTAGGAATCACAAACCTTGATACAGGCAGAGTTGACCATTTCAGGTGAGTGTATATATATTTTTTAATAGTCACTATTCAAGAAAATAGGACTTAGATTGAACATTACCCACTACTAGAATTATACGCTGCCATGATTTGTGTTTGATGGGGAGATTTATATGATTTAACATCAGGTCAAAGGTGAATATCATGATAACGCACAGTATAGATTATAGTTCGGAAAGAAATAGTTCCAAACACTTTGAGGTTTTGCCGTTTAAAGAGTGCACAGAGTAGCCTATTGGCTGCAAAGTGATGACTGAATGATTTTGTAAGTGTTTGTAAGATGTGAATGAGAAATATTATTCAATAGGGACACCATGGAGAATGGTGTTATTTCTATCTGAAAAAGTAGATGCTTTTCCCACTTTGAACCGGTTGGTTTCGCTAGACCTTATTCATGGTTTCCTCATGCATAAAGGTGGTAGACTTATTAGGGAATTAAGTCTCCTCCGCCACACCCTCATTTATTCGATCTCCACCTAAAACGAATAGCTGGTAAATAGCACGCCATTCTCAAGCTTAAGTTTAAGGTCAGAATACGCAGAGAGAAAAGTGCATCAAAAGGGAAGTACGTTCCATTTAGGCGCCACTTAACTAGGGTCGGAATCATGGCCCTAGAACAATAGAAGGAACTGCAGAGCCATTAAAAAGCAAGTTGCAGCCAGGTGAAGCATGTGGGGGTATTTCATATTTTATTTCAGCAAGTTGGCATTGGGGACACAGATAGAGCCAAAAGTTAAGAAAAAGTAACAGTCCATTGTTGTTTGTTGTCGCTTTTTGTTCAGGCTCTTCCTCCTTAGTTGAGCGGCTGGCCAGTCACCATGGCAACAAATGTGATAATCAACAACAACCAACAGTCTCAGCCTCCTCAGCCCCAGACACCAGCTATAATAGCCGTCCACTCTAACCAGTGGAGCACTGGCATCTGTGGCTGCTTCGACGACTTACAAGTCTGTGAGTCTGTCTGTCCATTTGTTTGTCTATTTATTCAGTATTCAGCAAAAAGTAGAATTCAGAGTTCAGTTTACATCTGTTTTTCATAATGTCTTATTAAAACATAGTTTAAAAAATGTATGTATGTTGTATTAATGTATGTTATACATTACATTGTTCCGTTTTTACTTACACCGTGTTTGGCATATTTTGAGACATCAACATTTTGAGACATCCATACTCTTTATACTCCATGCATACAAAATAACTTAAGAAAATAACAGTGCTACAAGCCACTAATCAAGGTGAGTTAGATACGTCTCCTATCAGTGCTAACATATCTTTTCCCTGTCCTGCACTCTCTCACCCCATCCTCAGGCTGTTTTGCCTACTGGTGCTTCCCCTGTTTCGCCTGCACTACCACCTCAGAGTTCGGAGAGTGTTTCTGTCTCCCTCTGCTGGACCACTTATGGTTCCTTCACCCAGCTGGTAGGGGTGTCTTCCTGTACCCCTCCTGTGTCCATGTCCATGAGGGTGGCGGTGCGCAACCGCTATGGGATTCAGGTAGGTTAACAAATGGAGAGTTGTACTGTCAGTCTGAACGCCTGAATGAAGACACTAAAGGGAGAGTATTAGACTAAGCCTATGGACTTTGCGTAAGCGTGAGGCAGTGCATACAACACATACACAACACAACACATGAGGGCTTATGTGGGCTTGTGCCTAGTAATACAAATAATAACAATTTATTCAACTTATATAGCGCATTTCAAAGAATCTCAAAGCACCCCAAAGCACAAAAAAAGTCATTTAGAAAAACAACATCATCAGATGGACAGTCATCAGAAGGTTCATGGCTTGAGTGGTCATCTGAGGGAGGTGGTCAAGCAGGAGAGAAAGTCCGGAGGCAGACAGGTGTCTCGCTGACTCTGGCTTTTCCATAGTAGAACTCAGTCAGATGAAGTTTGAGCTTAGTTTAAACAGCCCAGTAGTCGATGTAATCTTACAGTATTCCAGGTTTTGTACCTTTGCTGATACCTTATTGCAACTGTTTGTGACTAGAAACACTATATAGTACTTCTAAACATCACGCCTACAAGATCAAACGATAATGACTGTATGAGATTATAGTATTTAAGTCATGTGTCACGTCTCTCTAAAGGGTGACATGATGGCGGACTGTGTGTACTCCACCTTCTGCAACATCTGCTCCTGGTGCCAGATGGCCCGGGAGATCAAGAGACGCAGACAGACCTTCACAGTCATCAACGCCCAGTCCGCCATGCTGCCCGGTCAGAACATGGTAATGGCCTTCCAGCCGGGGGTCATCACATCTCAGCCTATGATCAACTCCACCCCTCAGGCAGTCTTGACCACTGCTCATGTGATGTGATTGTAATCATCATTAAAGCTCACGTTTATTTTCCTTCTGCTGTGACCTCCCTCCCTCTCCATCCCTCCCCTCCCTCATTTTAGTCAGATTTACAATTAGTGCATTCTTCTTAACATATAGTGAGGGGAAAAAAGTATTTAATCCCCTGCTGATTTTGTACGTTTGCTCACTGACAAAGACATGATCAGTCTATAATTTTAATGGTAGGTTTATTTGAACAGTGAGAGACAGAATAACAACAAAAAAATCCAGAAAAACGCATATAAAAAATGTTATAAATTGATTTGCATTTTAATGAGGGAAATAAGTATTTGACCCCTCTGCAAAACATGACTTAGTACTTGGTGGCAAAACCCTTGTTGGCAATCACAGAGGTCAGACGTTTCTTGTAGTTGGCCACCAGATTTTCACACATCTCAGGAGGAATTTTGTCCCATTCCTTTTTTCAGATCTTCTCCATGTCATTAAGGTTTCGAGGCTGACGTTTGGCAACTCGAACCTTCAGCTTCCTCCACAGATTTTCTATGGGATTAAGGTCTAGAGACTGGCTAGGCCACTCCAGGACCTTAATGTGCTTCTTCTTGAGCCACTCCTTTGTTGCCTTGGCCGTGTGTTTTGGGTCATTGTCATGCTGGAATACCCATCCACGACCCATTTTCAATGCCCTGGCTGAGGGAAGGAGGTTCTCACCCAAGATTTGACGGTACATGGCCCCGTCCATCGTCCCTTTGATGCGGTGAAGTTGTCCTGTCCCCTTAGCAGAAAAACACCCCCAAAGCATAATGTTTCCACCTCCATGTTTGACGGTGGGGATGGTGTTTTTGGGGTCATAGGCAGCATTCCTCCTCCTCCAAACACGGCGAGTTGAGTTGATGGCAAAGAGCTCCATTTTGGTCTCATCTGACCACAACACTTTCACCCAGTTCTCCTCTGAATCATTCAGATGTTCATTGGCAAACTTCAGACGGGCCTGTATATGTGCTTTCTTGAGCAGGGGGACCTTGTGGGCGCTGCAGGATTTCAGTCCTTCACGGCGTAGTGTGTTACCAATTGTTTTCTTGGTGACTATGGTCCCAGCTGCCTTGAGATCATTGACAAGATCCTCCCGTGTAGTTCTGGGCTGATTCCTCACCGTTCTCATGATCATTGCAACTCCACGAGGTGAAATCTTGCATGGAGCCCCAGGCTGAGGGAGATTGACAGTCCTTCTGTGTTTCTTCCATTTGCGAATAATCGCACCAACTGTTGTCACCTTCTCACCAAGCTGCTTGGCGATGGTCTTGTAGCCCATTCCAGCCTTGTGTAGGTCTACAATCTTGTCCCTGACATCCTTGGAGAGCTCTTTGGTCTTTGAGAGTTTGGAATCTGATTGATTGATTGCTTCTGTGGACAGGTGTATTTTATACAGGTAACAAACTGAGATTAGGAGCACTCCCTTTAAAGTGTGCTCCTAATCTCAGCTCGTTACCTGTATAAAAGACACCTGGGAGCCAGAAATCTTTCTGATTGAGAGGTGGTCAAATACTTATTTCCCTCATTAAAATGCAAATCAATTTATAACATTTTTGACATGCGTTTTTCTGGATATTTTTGTTGTTATTCTGTCTCTCACTGTTCAAATAAACCTACCATTAAAATGATAGACTGATAATTTCTTCGTCAGTGGGCAAACGTACAAAATCAGCAGGGGATCAAATACTTTTTTCCCTCACTGTAGTTAGGTGAGACAACCACATATCACAGTTGTAGCAAGTACAGCAAGTCAATAAAGTACTGTAGTTATCAGCAAAGTCAGTGTTTGTAGGAAAAGGAGGGTGGGTGGCCCTGTGGGATTTATTTAAGATACTCATTGAAGAGGTAGAGTTTTAGACATTTTAGGAAGATGGGCAGGGACTCTGCTGTCCTGACGATAGGGGGAAGCTTGTTCCACCATTGGGGTGCCAGGACTGAGAATAAGTTTTGACTGGGCTGACCGCCTGTAAGGGTGGGACGGCCAAGAGACCAGAAGTGGCAGAATGGAGTGCACAGGTTGGGGTGTAGGGTTATGAGCTTTCTCTCTCTCTCTCTCTCTCTCTCTCTCTCTCTCTCTCCTCTCTCCTCTCTCTCCTCTCTCTCTCTCTCTCTCTCTCTCTCTCTCTCTCTCTCTCTCTCTCTCTCTCTCTCTCTCTCTCTCCCTCTCCCTCCCTCCCTCCCTCCCTCCCCACCCTCTCTCCCTTTGACTTTCCAAAACATTGAAGGACATTGCTGTACATTAGTGAAGGGAGGATTTATTGTCAAATGTGTTACTGTATGGTCCTATTGCATTTAACATTTTATCAAAACATTATATATATACCAAATACTATTATATGTTGATGTAGCAAATGTAATGTTACTTTGCATGCAACTTGTATATTTGTTGTTAAACAAAATAAATAATTGTTCACTAAACTACTATTCTCCTGACTGTTTATGAACATTTAACAATACAAAAAATGTAAGAGAGACAGCATGTACAAAAGGCTGTGAAGTATTTGTAGTTAATCATATCAATAATGTTAGTTCATTATATTAGAGCTGTAGCTCCGCCCACCGGTGAAGTGGCGCAGAGCATGCTGGGCGACCTCCAGTTTCGAGAGAAGTCAAGTGAGAGAAAGTAATGGTTTTGCTAATTATTAGTTTCTACTGCGAGCTAGCTATTGTGAGCTGGCTTGCTCTGGTTTGGTTGTCATATCATTTCGGACATTTAACCCTTTATTTGTAAAGGATAATGTCCCCCAGTGCCTTGTTTACAGTTGAAGTCTGAAGTTTACATACACCTTAGCCAAATACATTTAAACTCAGTTTTTCAAAATTCCTGATATTTAATCCTAGTAAAAACACCCTGTCTTAGGTCAGTTAGGATCACCGCTTTATTTTAAGAATGTGAAATGTCAGAATAATAGTAGAGAGATTGATTTATTTAAGCTTTTATTTATTTAATCACATTCCCAGTGGGTCAGAAGTTTACATACACTCAATTAGTATTTGGTAGCATTGCCGTTACATTTTTTTACTTGGGTCAAACATTTTGGGTAGCCTTCCACAAGCTTCCCACAATAAGTTGGGTGAATGTTGGCCCATTCCTCCTGACAGAGCTGGTGTAACTGAGTCAGGTTTGTAAGCCTCCTTGCTCGCACACAATTTTTCAGTTCTGCCCCCAAATGTTCTATAGGATTGAGGTCAGGGCTTTGTGATGGCCACTCCAATACCTTGACTTTGTTGTCCTTAAGCCATTTTGCCACAACTTTGGAAGTATGCTTGGGGTCATTGTCCATTTGGAAGACCCATTTGCGACCAAGCTTTAACTTCCTGACTGATGTCTTGAGATGTTGCTTCAATATATCCACATCATTTTCCTTCCTCATGATGCCATCTATTTTGTGAAGTGCACCAGTCACTCCAGCAGCAAAGCACCCCCACAGCATGATGCTTCCACCTCCGTGCTTCACGGTTGGGATGGTGTTCTTCGGCTTGCAAGCCACCCCCTTTTTCCTCCAAACATAACGATGGTCATTATGGCCAAACAGTTCAATTTTTGTTTCATCAGACTAGAGGACATTTCTCCAAAAAGTATGATCTTTGTCCCCATGTGCAGTTGCAAACCGTGGTCTGGCTTTTTTATGGTGGTTTTGGAGCAGCAGTGGCTTCTTCCTTGCTGAGCGGCCTTTCAGGTTATGTCGATATAGGACTCCTTTTACTGTGGATATAGATTATTTTGTACCTGTTTCGTCCAGCATCTTCACAAGGTCCTTTGCTGTTGTTCTGGGATTGATTTGCACTTTTCGCACCAAAGTACATTCATCTCTAGGAGACAGAACGCGTCTCCTTCCTGAGCGGTATGACGGCTGCGTGGTCCCATGGTGTTTATACTTGCGTACTATTGTTTGTACAGATGAACGTGGTACCTTCAGGCATTTGGAAATTGCTCCCAAGGATGAAACAGACTTGTGGAGGTCTACAAATTTTTTTCTGAGGTCTTGGCTGATTTCTTTTGATTTTCCCATGATGTCAAGCAATGATGCACTGAGTTTAAAGGTAGGCCTTGAAACACATCCACAGGTACACCTCCAATTGACTCAAATGATGCCAATTAGCCTATCAGAAGCTTCTAAAGCCATGACATCATTTTCTGGAATTTTCCAAGCTGTTTAAAGGCACAGTCAACTTAGTGTATGTAAACTTCTGACCCACTGGAATTGTGATATAGTGAATTATAAGTGAAATAATCTGTCTGTAAACAATTGTTGGAAAAATTATTTGTGTCATGCACAAAGTAGATGTCCTAACCGACTTGCCAAAACTATAGTTTGTTAACAATAAATTTGTGGAGTGGTTGAAAAACAAGTTTTAATGACTCCAACCTAAGTGTATGTAAACTTCCGACTTCAACTGTATATGCCCTGTAATTGTATAGGTGTATGGTACATCATTATATGTGTATTACATTGTATTTCACTGTTTAGAGGTATTCAAGTTCATTGTGCAGTTGTAGCCCTGTACTGAAGATGATGGTGCTATGCTTTGTAGCACACGTGCGGCGGCACCCCTTTGATCTCAAATTAGTGCAGTCACAGTCACGTTGTATTGCGCTGTCTGGTCCTGTATAGCATTAAGTCATCATAGTCATGTTATAGCCATGCATATTGTTTAGAAGAGATGTGAATTGGAGATTCTATTCTGTCATTCACTATTGTATCATTATTTCTCTCTTGCACACACACACACACTTTGGTTGAAGCAAGTTGCCAGACCACTAAGTGCCTTAGCCCATCCATACTACATACACTGTGTGGTGCTGTTCCGTGCCTGTGCATATTCAGGGTTATTAAACCACCTCAACTGGAATCCTACCTGTCTGTCATCTGTGCCCTTACCAGCACATGGGAGCGAACACATCAAGTAAAACCTAACCTAAAGAATACACAGTCCACCAAGTCCTCACTTACACTGCCCCTAAAACGGCCTATGTGGCATCATTA